AGCATCCTGTGTGGATTGCCTTGATATTGCCTTAAGTCACAAGTATTATAATCAGATATGATGGTGGTTAATAGTAGAATTCAGGACGCGCTTTTCATCCGGTGCTCGAACTCAGTACCGTTCTCACTAAAAGCCACCGCATTATCCGCTTAGCTACTGAGTCCAGATAGTTACTAGCTTATACAATAGGAAGAAGTCTAATTCATGTTTATATTGATTGCTTGATTCTTCTCATTGATGTTTAAGACTGCAATTGAACAATCTCATGTTAGCATACATGCATGCTATGTGAATTTCTTCGATACTGCCTTAAATCACGAACATTATAAGCAACATAATAAAAACAATTTTGATTCCATTGCTATTTTAATCGTTACAAAATACTCTATCTACATATTGCTCTCAAACTAGATATACAGTTTAAATTTATCATCTCCATATACTAATTCATTTGTTAATTGATCAACACAACTAATTATTAATTTTAATAATATAAATTTAAAAGAGAAAAAAGAACAAACATAAAAACTACATCGTATCCACTAAATTGATTTACATCAAAATTATTTGTTTGTAAAACAGACCTCGGTCAACTTGGTATTGTTGACTTTGAATAACTGACATAACAGTTTAATAGTCATGTGTAACATTATGAACAATGCTGGATATCATTTAAACTCATGTTATAATTAGTGTTTTTTACAGGTAATTTAGGTTTGTGATGATGAAAATGTTTACAAACTGATTTAAACAAGTGACATGTATATAAATATATATAAATATATGCTATTTTATTTCAGTGAATTAATGATATCCATTTAATAGTTGAATTTACGAGCCAGCGTAAGTTAGACGACCATTGAAAACCTGGAAGCACTGGATGGCCTATTCATCCTAGTATGGAACTCTTCAGCTGTGCTCATCCAAGATCATGTATGTGGTATCGCCTATTGCTTCCAAGTTTTCGATGGTTGTCTAGCTTACGTTGACTCATGAACTCAAGTATTTAAAGTCACTACAATCTCCACAAACCCCATTTTAATAATATCTATTTAACGCAAAAAGGAGAAAGATGTTAAACACACCCAGCTTTATAAAGTCAGTGAGTGAGTGATGATGATGTTGATGATGTTGAAAGACTACAACTTTTGCGCCTTGTTTCAACTAGTCTACTTGACAAATTAAAGTGATGCTTTCTTGCATAAATTCAAGTCACTTCAATCAAAAGCCATCTGGTTGACTGGCATTCATCAGACGACTTGCTTCTTATTTACTTGTAAATTGCCATAATTTTGACATTTAGTACTAATCTTCCAGTTCACTAACAGGAATATATTAATAATTCTATAAAAATGAATAATCACTTTATATTATGGAAATATACAAAAGCTTTTATTACCATCTAACTACATGATCAATTAAGTAGGAAATAGGATTTAACTAAGTACATAAATAATGTATTATGCAATGATCTTCATGACATGGAACATTTTCGTTAAAAATGCAAAATAAAGTTTTTTATTAACTAATATCAATCACGTATCAATTGAGAACAAGATATGGTTAATTATTTGTTTCTCGTACTAAGCCTTTTGTTACAGAATTCCTAGAATTTAAACACAACCCATGTTCCTAAAGCTTAGTTATAATCGTAAAGAACCAAAAGAATTGAAATCTGTTGGTTAATTGTATTCAAATACATTGAGCTACTGGCATAGCAACAGTATATTTCAATATTTGGTGTAGAAAAATATAACTTTGCCGATTGAACAATTTATTTTTCTGGTAACAATCTTTACCCAAAAATAACTATCAATTACAAATGAAGATTTTTAAAAATTAATCACAATGCTAATTCCTTTTAATTTACAGTATGATTTAATTAAAAAGTAATCAGTTTACAAGTTTGAAACTAGACTTCATGTATATAATTTCCAACCAGAGTTTTAAACATTTTATCTAATAAAAATAAAACATTTAAATTGATAAGATGGATAGTGGTTAACAGTGGAATTCAGGATGCGCGTTTCGTCCTATTTGAGACTCGTCAGCTGGATGCACCTGAATCGCATGGGAAGATTTAAGCAAAACAATACCAAGTGAATTAAAACTCACCCCATTGCATAAGCAAGTGGCTATCAGGACGCGGTAGCTGAGTAGATAAAGCGATGACATTTAAAGCGAATGGTACTGGGTTCGAGTCCCAGAGTGAACATCATCTCCGAGATGCAGGTACATCCAGCTGACGAGTCCTAAATAGGACGAAACACACATCCTGGATTCCACTGTTAGCCACTATCCATCATTGCTTACAAAAAGCTTGTGAATTAATGCATTATCGAGGCAATACGCACAGTATGTACATATGCCAATAACAGACTGATCAATTGCAGTCTTAAACCCTAATGAGAAGATTCAAGCAAAATAAATACAAAATGAATTTAAATTGATAGTTTATTATCGGCTGTTTTTGATGGTATGGCAACCTGAGTTAATATAATAATTCATTGAATCGGTCTTTCGTAATAATCAATAGAATAAAACTAGATCAAATTACACTATGTACAAACAAACAAACAAACAAATTTGTTAAATCGATATTTTATAAATAAAAAAAGAAGAAACAATGAATAAAGGAAACTGAAATCTAGTGGGTGATTAAAACAAAATATCTAACATAAAAGTATGTATATGACGAATATTGGTAACAAAATCAATAAAATTCTTTACTATTTATATATTATAATTAAACAAGTGATCAAACGCATATTTCATACTTAAATATAACTGATCAATTTATATTGTTAACAAATCTATTTCAAAATTGTGTCAATTTAATTTATTTGGTTAAGGAATCTACGGAACTAACATATTAGGTAAATTCTTTGATTTTTTTCAAAGAATTTTCAACCAGTTATTTGTGAGAATGGGTTTTGTGGAGAGTTTTAGAAATTTCACAGGTTGAAATCTGTGAAATTTCCACAAAACCCATTCTGATAATAATCAACTGCTCACTAGTGACTGACTTCAGGAAAAACTCCTGGAGTTCTAGTGAGAAGCCGTTACCAGTGGAGTTAAACCAGGTCTGTTGTGAGATAGTAACTCACTGAAGAAAATGGTGTACGGTGGCGCAACTTCGTGGATTGGTTGAAGTTATTTGTGATCATGTCAATTTATTGTTTATATACCGATAAATATTTAAGAATATTTGTTTTAATAGTTGAGATCATGAGTCAATTGAAGCTAGATCACCATGGAAAACCTGGAAGCACTAGATGGCCGTTTTGTCGTAGTATGAGACTCCTTAATAGCACGCATCCATGATCTCGCCAAGTGAGATTCGAAACCAGGACCTATCGGTTTCACTAGGCGGGATCGTGGATGTGCACTGATGAGGAGTCTCATACTACGACAAAACGGCCGTCCTGTACTTCCAGGTTTTCCATTGTGATCTAGCTTCAATTGGCTCATGATCTCAACTACTGAAATTACTATAGCAACCACTAAACCCCCTTCTGATATTAAGATTATTTATTTTACATCACTATAGTCATCTTTTTTACGAAAACTAACTTTCATAAACAAAAATAATATTTCCTTTAATATTTAAGCAGTATATAGCAGCAATTTAGACCGTATAAAATGTCTGATATATCATACAACTATTAAATACGACACCCAAAAGCATGAAATTCAACGATAATGTAACATACATTATTCATCAGCAATATTTCAAGATGATCAAGCTATGGTTTATAAACAAAAATATAAAAACAGATCGATTGGTTGTTGCGATGACTTAATTTGGACGTTCTAGCTTTAATAGTTGTAATGTATGAGTACATTTTAGGAAATGAATAAAAATGAAACACCACTTAACTGTTTGAACTAAGATAGTTTATGGTAGATCACTGGATATCAGTTGTTTTTAAATTATTCGTCAATATCTTATATTTCAAAAACTGTCAATAATTCAACTTGAAGTTTAATGGTATGTTTTTCAGGCCTAAGTCGCTACATTCCTAAACAATATATGTGAAGCCTAGGACATAGTGAGTCGGAGAATTTTAGTAAGTGACATATTCGCCACGAAGGATAAAAAAGTATTTAGGTAAGTAAATAAGAGCTGAAGGAACTTTAATCCCATTGAGAGATTGAGAAAATACGATATATAAATTAGAAACTGTTGCAAACAATCCTAGTAATACCAGAATATAACGAAACGTCCTATTAACTAAACAGTAAACGGAATATAAACTTATTATCTACAACCATTTACCATCAACAAACTTGAAGCCGGAAAACTATTCTTACAAAAATGGCTATCAAAAGTGGACTTTTTTTATCATAAATATAAACACAGCAAAAACATCCTTCTAACGGGTTAGACTAAATTTCTGTGATATTCAGAGTACTGAGTTATGTTAGGTTTTTAGAATAGCATTTATGCTATAATAAAGTATACACGAATTTCAAATTAATAATAGTGAATTAGTGTTTTGTAATTACTGGTTCATTTTTTACTTAAGAATCTAGTCACTAACTTTGTTATCATACTTATTCAGATAGTGTTATCGATTATTCTGAATGATAATTTCCACGGTGTGGGCAACCGGGAAGTGATAATCACCTTCATACCTCTAACAGCACTCAAGACCATTGTATTCATAATCAACCTCTTTCTTCTTTAAGTAATTAAATGAAAAAATATTATTTACATCTCTGAAATTCCGAATGAGTTTACTAATACAATCTATATAGTTTGACAGGAACACTACGACCTCAAGAATTATGAACACCTAGCTTCGTTTTACGTAGTCACAAATTCATACATGCTGAAATCAATCTCATTGACGATGCATTACAAGGATTAATCCCTCATTATTCTTTGCTATCAGCATGATTTAGCATTTAAATTTTATAATATAAACTTTATTAAAAGATACATGTATTTAAAATAATTTAAGCTCAAACAAAAGAAAAATCAATTACGAACCTACCTTCAATACAATTTAATTTGCTTCATTTATTCGTAAACACTCTGATTAAATGTGGATTCGGTATATGACGATTAGATACCAGCCGCTGTTTTAATGAAACCTGATACATCTAACACCCTAGACTACATTAATGTCAACAGAGATATGCACATAAACACTAAAACACAAGCTCACGCTTACTTATACAACAACAGACAGTCAATCATAAGGCAAAGCAATGTAATCTCTTTTTTGGTATGAAACTGACATAGAGAAAAACTGTGAAGGTCATACATATATATGGATATATTCAAACAGGTGATTATGCAAACAAATGACACACAATCATAAAAACAGAATAAATAAACGTGAAGGTTGACTAACTTAACAATAAACCAAGTCAATTAATTCACTAGTGTGCCGTTCCTGTCTTTTAGATCAATAGGTCAGTTTCTATGTGTATCTACGGTGTATGTAGTAGTATGTGTGTGTATGTGTAAGTAAAATAAATAAATAAAAAATTATATAAACTGCTCATATTTCATTAAATCACTACAACTAGTCAAAAATACAACACTCCAACTGAATATATCATAATTCGACCGGTCTCCTTACTATGTGTATATATGTTTATCCATCTTTATTTGCTTAGTAAGTGAACATTTATCAACATTCTGGTTGGTAGAATTATGTTAACAAATCACATTCGTAATAATTTATTCAATCTTTCTTTTTTGTTTTTAATAATAATAATAATCGAATAATACACTGAATGGTTCAATGATTCCGTATACATGGTAAGTTAAAAGAATTATTAAAATTAATTCATTAGATTTTATCAACAAAGAAGCTTAGTATTTTCAAGTTAAACTTATATGAAATATATTCAGTCTAGATGCATATGATTAAAGTCACATTTATGATTTAACAATAGAATCGGCTAAAACATTAGAATTTATAATTAGTATTTTATTATATATATACATATACAACTTGTTAATTGAATGATTGTTTATCTTTTGTGAATATCATTATTAGCTGAGACTTCAATGAATTATTCGATGCTTTATATATACATAAATCTTTTATCTGATTGACTACTAATGATAATCAATACTGGGTTCAAAACTCGTGGGGTGGGATCGTGGATGCACACTGTCAAGGAGTCTCACAATAGGACGAAACAACTGTCCAATGCTTCCAGACTTTCCATGGTGATCTATCTTCAATTGACTCATGATTTCAACTATATTCACAAAAACCCCTTCTGATAATAATTCAATTGTTTGTTTTTTCATGTTTCAGTGAAATTCTCAGAGCTTGACTGACAGTCTTCAATCAATATATGGAATAACTCTTTAAATATTTCAATAATTTTACATATCCAAAACGGGATCTAACTGATAAACAATTCTTAATCATAACATAAAATTAAATTATACTTATCAGTAGTATTGTGGTATTCATATTACATATACATTTGTAAAGTTTTGTCAACTTGACTCATAAAAAATAATCCCTTACCAGATATAACAAATTTATATATTAGTTTGTTAAGAATCCTAGCAAACTCATACTAATCTTTAATTTAATCGAAATACAAAAACTTAATTAATATATATTTCCAAATCAATATTTTAATCTTATAACACTATGATGATCATACCATAATATTTGATGGAATTTTGTTCTATGAGCTCAGAGAACAAAACTCCACCAAAATCATCCACATGGGGTACAAATCTTCTCCACTACCATAACATTTGAAAAATTCCGAATTTAAATAAAACAAAGATACACTAAACAGTAACTTCTCATCAGGTTCAAGTTAATGTTACAACGAAGATAATCATGTTTACAACAACAAAAATCTTTTATAATTACAACAAACGAATTTAAAATGACTGATAAAATGAAATAAAACTGTTAGTATTTAAGTAGCTATTGTGTTATGTCAACTTGAATCAATTCATAGATCATATGAAATTATGAGACTAATAATCAGAATAAATAAAGATATACATTGAGTGAAAGAAATTATATAATTACAAGTCAGATCAAATGCTTGGTTGACGATTACGAAAGGATACAGTAGGGTGGGGTGATTGATCACGGATGGTAAAGAAGGAACATGAGTGTGAAACTTTATTAGTTTTGCGACTGGACAATAAAAACGAAGTTCCTTGAAAACTCTTCATTACAGAATAATTATCATATGCTTTTCGAATACGGTGGTAGAAGAAGTGAGTGGTCTAATATAATATGTTAAAGAAAAAATGATACCCAAAATGTTCATAAACAAATGCCTAGTCAAGAAAATAAGAGGATAGGAATTTTAATTGGTAAACAAAACTGTCTTTATGTATTTACCAGTTAAAGTAATTCACTGAGTGACATGTTAATTCTGAATTTATTTAGTACAATGAGAAGAACGTTTAACACAAGAAAACTACAACTAATGTTGTAGTGACAGCAAGATTGAAAGATGAACTGCCTTATCTTCCGACCATTTTTTGTAACTATCGATTCAACTGCAACAATGTAGCAAGATGACACTACACACTAACCATTTCAATAGTTAATTTTTATTTCATTCCACTAACAATCCTAAATTCATATGCCGTAATTATAAAAATCTTATTTTGTGTAAGCTTAACTGTCTCCTTTGTAACATTAATTCAGATTTATAAGTGTAGAAAGTGATGAGTTTAGATAACGCAATGAATCAGAATTACATGATATATGTGTGCAATGTATTTCAAACAGTCTGGTCGCACAAATACTTGTCGAAACATTATATCCGAAAAATAAAAGTTGAACTAGACAAGTTAAAAGGTAGGGGGAAACGAAAATAACAGTAATAATAACAAAGTAAAAAATGTGAAAATTATGCTGGATAATAAATTAGTGTTATCAAAGTAAGTTAAGTGTAAGAACAAATTGTTTTTGAACACATAAAGGGGGTTTCGGTTTTTGTATAGTCAAGGTTTCAATAAACCTTAGTACACTCCTTTTAAAATGTTTGTACAAATCTGCAATGGCTGACTTGACATCAACAATATCACCTGTCCCAAACAAATGTTTTGCGATGGAGGGGAGTGTTCGTCTATCTTGTGACCTTAATAGACCATTCGACTTCATTTGTTTTTGCGGCCGTTTAGTTATGTGTTCATCCACCCTTACATTCAACTCGTGATTGCTCCTCCACACTTAAATGCTGTTTGGGTTTTTTGTGATACATAGATCTTGACTTTTCAATAATGATGAGTTAGCCGGCATAAAATATCCTATTGATAGCTAATTTAAGTCTCCATTTCAACATGAGACTATTTGAGTCAACTCGAAGTGGTAAGAAAATAAGATCCCGTTTTTGGGTCCCAAAAATATCGTAGGTCTATTCAAACTGCTACCTTCCCAGTGGTTCATAAAGTTCAATGAATAATTTTTACCCATCAATTTTCAGTTAAGAGCTTCGCGTCTCCCTAAATAATATTGCTAGTACAAATACCAATAATCCTATAGAATAAGCCCTTTGTTAGTCCCCATTTGTGCTGGAAACTAAGATGTTACCCTGTCCGTGTCGACTTTCTATATAGGAAACGTTTGATGGAATCATCGTCTGTTTTACTGGTCACTATGCCTGGAAAAGAGAGCTGGTTATTCATTCCTTCTTCTCGTTTAGGAGGAATATACTTTTGAGTTGTGTTGAGTTCCCTTAGCAAGCAACCCATGTATCCATGTTTATCACCGATGACTATGATGTCGTCCTGAAGTGGACGCCGCTCGCAGCATTGCTTGTAAATAATATGCTGCAGAATATGGCCTCCAATTTGTCGAACGGAGCGAAACACGGCGTTGGCAGAACACGTGAAGACCAGGTAAGAAAAGAGTTCAGATTGCAAAACACATTAAAAGTTTCAAGTGGATAATTGAAGGCTATGTATATATATTATGTAAATGCCTTGTAACTTTTCCCATTAAAAATATGTTCCTGCTTCCGACTGTATTATTTTACAATTCACGTGCTGCTTATACAAACACATCTTTTGAGTTGAGTATTCAGCGAGATTTTCCACATATGAAATAAACATATTAGACAGCAATTGTCTTAAAGGACTATCCACTGCCACGCAATCAGTCTTTTGAAAATGCTCTCTCTCAAAAGTGAATTTCATATTGTCAGTACATAATAATAAATATTAGAGAGTTTTCACATGAAATGTCGATGGAAAGTTATTTAGTGAGATTTAGTATCATAAAATATCTATGCTTTTCCTTTAGAGGCACATGCATAAACAAAGTGTTTACATAAAAGCAACACAATGTCATAGTTTTTATATTAATATCCATTAAATAGTTAACTGATTCAAATGGGTCTTTCAAAGAATATTTGTGAAACTGGTTTCACATGTGGTTTAACACTTTGTGAAACATTTTGCAAAATTGATAGAATTGCTCATAAGGGGATATTGAGCTTATGAACTTTTAGTGGCCCCTATTGATCAGAATACACTGAACCCATAGAGTTTAATAAATTTAATTCATCTTTTTTAACAGCACTCTTTTCAAGTAATTTCCTTAGATTCTAATCGACTTTCCTTTCTAATTTACGTAACCCATCAGAGTCAACATCGGCTATAAATTTGCTTTCGTCACTAATAATGGATTCCATTTAATTTTTGTAATCCGACTTATTCATAACAACAACATCTGATCCTTTATCAAGTTTAACCAAAAAAGAATATCAGTATTATTTCATAATTTTTTAATGATTTGGAATACCGAGAAGTTAATATACTTTTATGATTTGGTCCAGAAACATGAAATAGTTACACTATATTCACTAGTTTAGCTTTACACAAACTTTGATTCTCTAAAGATGTAAGAGCTAAAGTACTCAGTTAATCATAAAGGTTTTGGAATTTGGTAATGATTGCCAATTCAAACATTTGTAAATTTAAGAATTTATTGAGGAAATATCTTTGTTCAGTTCATCACCATTTTAATTCAGCTTGTGTACAATTAATATTAATGATAAAATTAATATAGGCTATTGAACTTAGTTTGCTTTAAAAAGTGTTAACTATTCAGTGGGACTATAATATTTCAATAAATATCTGGGTTAACAATAAACATTAAGATTAGACACTGAATGTTAAGAGAAAATTTGAGACTGGTCATATTAAATGGTTAAGTAATTTAAACCTACAATCATAAACTTCTAGAGGTTGACTAAATATATTTATTATTAGTTTTAATTCATAAATTTGATTCCATTGATGATTTTACAAAAAGCAAGAACAACAAAACTTACATGATACAACTTATTTATTCTATCTTGATACTTTTTATTAACTGTAAATATCTTAGAAATATAGTGCTTTGTTCGGTCGTCGCAATGGTTGTGCCAGAAAAACAAAAACGCTGATCACTTATACTCGGAACGAGGGACCACGGCAATTCCCGCGATGTGAAACTAAGAACACAAGACTGGTATCAGTGAAGATGTATTAGCCTCAAACACTATGATAAAGACGAATCAATATCATCTAAAACACACTGATTTATATATTGATTGTACACCCATTTTGATTAATAATTAGGAATGGATC